GGAGATCACTTCACTTGACTCATAATTTGATTTTTTTTTTTTTATTAACCTCTTCAGACTCACCAGCTCACCACCCAGTTTTAACAGGGTTGCTCCAGGCTCCACCTTGAAAGGGAAATGAGGCAGAGAGAAACAGCACATGCATTTCTTGAGACTGACCCACCACAGCCACATAAAAACTACTCCAGTCCTTTGCTCTCCAGCACCCCCAAGCACAATTTTTTCCTCCCCCACACTTTCTGTTAAATGCCTTTTGTTACAAGCAGAATGTATTTTCCTGTTTTATTTGCTTTTTGTTATTTTGGCAGTTTATTTATCATGTATTTATTTATGTTGCCATTTATTTGTGGGGTACTGTTTGTAATTATAATTTTATGTATTATTTATTAACCTGGAACATTTTTGTCCAGAGAAGCTGTGGCTGCCCCGTCCCTGGAAGTGTCCAAGGCCAGGTTGGACGGGGCTTGGAGCAACCTGGGATAGTGGAAGGTGTCCCTGCCCGTGGCAGGGGTGGAATGAGATGATCTTTAAGGTGCTTTCCAACCCAAACCATTCTAACATTCTATTTTCATGGGGGTTTTACTTTATTTTTTATCTGTTTGGCAGTGTTTGGGGAAAACTAAGGAGACATTAAAATCCTCATAGCACTTGTATATGTCAGATTTTCTCTCTCAGACTCAAGAACCACGACACAAAAAGTCTATTTTAATGACATCCCTTCTGGCTGAGGAAACTTGTCAGTGACCCGTCTGTGTCACTGGGAGTGAGATTTGTTTTCCTTTCCTAGAACAACACTTGGATCACCTCTTTTGCCCTGAATTACTGGGTACCCAACCAACCAGATTTTTTTTCTTTATCTTTCTCAAATGAGTGGATTAGTCACAGGGTGTAATGTAGAAATTAATTGTACTGTTGCTGTTCTAAAGTCTGAATGACTGCCATCTCTTTTCTTTGTTTTTTTTTTTTTTTTCTTCCTTTTTTCAGGAACTATAGTTTGAAAGAGATGAGTTCTCTCTTTCCTCCTGGTGATCCATACTGAGGTGTTTCCGAAGCATTTGGCATTAGCTGTCACCATCTTCCACTGCTCCTGGATTCAAGCAGGGCTTTGTTCCATGGGATATGATGAAAATTGAGTTACATTGATATGAGGGCTCTGTTCTCCCAGGAAGGGAGGTTTGAGGGACCATGACTTCATACAACAACCTGAAAGGAGGTTGCACCCAGCTGGAGATCAGTCTCTCCTCCTGAGTAACGAGCAGCAGGACAAGAGGAAGAAGCCTCAGGCTGTGCCAGGGGAGTTTTAGAGTGGATGTTAGGGAAAATTTCTTCACAGGAAGGGATGGTCAAGCTGGAACAAACTGCCCAGGGCAGTGGTGGAGTCCCCATCCCTGGAGGGACTTAAAAGCCGTGTAGATGTGGCAGCTGGGGACATGGGTTAGTGGTGGCCTTGGTAGTGCTGGATAAACAGTTGTAGTTGATGGTCTTAGAGAGAGCTTTTCCAACCTAAATGATTCTCTGTGGCAAAGCCAGGCCTTCTTTCCAAGATGCTGGATCCTTCTATCCCTTGTTTCAGGCTCAGAGAGCACCTGTGTAGCCCCAGTTGCAGAAGAGTGGCCAAAATCTGTTGCTTCAGCTCCTTTTCAAGCTCTCGCGCGAGGGCAGCGTTCACTGGAGAGCTGCACTCTCAGCATGTAGAGTAAACACTTGATCTGAGCCTTGCCAGTGGGAAACAAGCCTTCTTTGTTCCAGAAGTTCACTGGATTTCGGCAAGGAATGCATTGTTGAGGAAGACAAGTGGGGTGCCCTCTGCCAACACTGCAAGGATTCATCCAGGCATCACATGAGATGCGTCCCAAGGGCAGTGAAGTCTGGCAGCTGAGGTGACACTTGCAGATCAAGCTGAAAATTAACTGTTTGAAATACAAGTTATAATTTGTACAATCTTTAGGCGTTTCTGGTAT